TAAGAAAAAGAGAACTCTCACCGTCAGCGTTGAACACGCCAGTACCAAGGAGCGAGTCCAGTTGCTCGCGGAAGGTGGGTCCTATGACGCAGGGTTTAATCCAAATCTCGACGACTCTAAGTCACATCAGAATAACCTTTCTCAAAGGCGTCGAATTGGGTCGCAAGCATGTTCTGCGACGGCTCGTGTTAGGTGTTGTGAGAGCATTATACTTTAATTTCGCACCTTGATAAACTCGGGGTCTTCGGTGAAGATCTAAAGAAGGGAAACCTCAGCACTATTCCACCGCAGGAAATAACGCACACAACGCTCACCGCGTTGGCACTCAACATGCGCATCTGGTACGTGCTTCCACACTCTTCCGCCCATCTGGCAAAGTGTTCAGCTGGCAGATTATTAGTCCTCTTCAATTATATTTGAACCGTAGGCGCGCTGCGACCATAACACGACTTCCTGCGGAGGTGAACCGTAGGATATGGGCAGGATGCATACACGTCGGTCAAGAAACGGGGTCACGGTATGATTACCGCGCGATAGCATTGAGATAATTGCAACTAGATCGAGACATACCTGGGAATCCACCCTTCAACGTCTCAACAATGTCACCGATGATCTTGAACGACGAGGCATTGACCATCGGGGCCATCACCGCGCCTCTGGCGGCAGCATCACGTTTGTTGACGATGTCAGAGTACCATGAAGTTGCAAAGAAAAGAATAGGTCGGGCAAAGAGCGTGGCGGGTACGATGATCCATGAAGGAATAGTTATTGGAAGGAAATCGTTGGCAATGCGAAGAGCAAAATAGACGATTGCAGAGGGTATAGCGAAGTGGGGGACGACGCGTTGAAGATATGTGAGCCCTGGAGCCCGTCCTGTACCCATGGTGCTGGTGATTGGTGGTGGTTAGAAGGGAAATGTCGTGTCAAGAAGCGTCAGAAATATTCGTGCTCTTTAGGGCGTAAGCTTCATTCCTCAGCGAGCTTGCAGTTCGGTTGCTGTAATGCCCTGTTGGGGAAAATCTTGATGTACATCCGCCACGCGCAACATGAGCGATGTCCTGCGATGTCGATGAAACCGGGTACTTTCAGGCCTTCCAATCCCCATCATCATGTGGAATCTTTGGCTTGTTCGATAGCCAATCGCCTTCTTTGTGATAATAATGAATAAAGGAATCGATCATCGCATTGGTAAAGTCTGAAGTTTCGTGAAAATACCTTCTTTTCATGTGCGAGTCTGTGACAACTCCGATGGATGGCCTCTACCTTGGCCTTTGACTATCAGATCTTCAGAAGTCAGAAAGATAGGGGCAGTCTTGTAAACCGAGTTAGAAAGAATAAAGAAGATCAAGGAGGGAAGAACTCTGCCCAATGTGCTGCTGAATAAAGATTCGCACGGATCATTTACGTGAGGAGCTCGAGTCATTTCGGGCAAGTGTACGATGAAGGTCCTACGGGAGTCAGTCTGTAGCTCTCATTTTACAGCTCAAATTACACAGGTAATTCTACAGGTTCTCAAAGCACAAAGGGGCAGGTGTTCATACTGCTGCATCATGACGGGTTGCGCGCGTTGTGTTGATGTACACACCGAGCTTGCTGGATTCTTCGAACGCGGCGCTACCAGAGATGCTCTGAAAAAAATGTCAGGTTCAATTTACGACAAACAGGCGCCGATTATAGTCACGTACCCCTTTAGTACCTCCGCGCGTTTGCAATGTCTGGTCTGCCGTGTGAGTGCCCAAGTCCCCAGACAACGACATCTCCAGGAAGGTCGTCTGGTTCATGAGGTTCTTACGGGCATTCAGTGAGGCCAGCATGGAGTTAACGTATCTATGCCCAACTAAGCAAGGAAAAGCAGAAGCAGGATAGAGAACGCACAATCGCCCAATGCAGAAGTAGAACAGCCCATAAATGAATGTATTCGGGAACGCAACCACGCAAACGAGTGTCGCAATCGCGCAAAGGCCCGTAACCACTCCGGTGTTGATCGCGTACAGCTGGGTAAGAATAAGCCACTACGATTAACGGGAAAACTCAAGCCGATGGACGCACCATGAGCTTGTTGATTGTCATGTTTGTATGCGACATGCCTGTGCGGGAAGAGTAGAGGAGGAACACCATGGTACCCGCGAGGAGGACGTCAGCTGCCATCGCGGAACCCTGCGCCCACTTGACGAGCTGCCCATCGCGGGCGTTTGAGTCGGTCACGCTTGTCCGAGTGACGACACGAGCGACCCAGACTGTCAAACGTGAAGAATGTTATGTTAGGAATCGAGGAGGTTGGATGGAGGTATCGTACCAAGACCGACGACTAGGCCTGAATGTCAGAAAGCAGATACGGGTCAACGGGGAGTAGGTTGGCGTACCAAGTTTACCAGCGATGAAGACCGACTGTGATAAGTGCACATGGTCAGTACAACTTTTCGAAATAGATACCAGATAAAGAGATGTACATACCGGCAAGAGGATTAACACCCATTTGAATTTGCCCCTGCTCACTGCATACGCAACACGGTAGAGATCAGTCAGACCAAGTGATTGATATTGGCAGAAAGATAACGTACGTCGCCAGATCCGCATCAGGAAAAAGCATTGGACGAAGAATGTGGGCGCGATCTATAGACGGAAGGCGACACTCAGTACTCGGCCTTCGTAACGAGCGTCGAGTAGGAGAGCTCACCTCAAAAACTGCTTGGATCTGATAATTTACGGGTGTTGGACTAGTTTTCGTTATGGGTCTCTATCAAAGGGCGCGCACCGAGAACGTAGGAATAACCTGGTCGAGCGCCAGCGGGTCGAAGTAATGTGTGATCATATATTGATATACTGCACAACAAGTCAATATCGGCGCATAGTCCCTGAAAAAAGGGGGGGCGTACTGAGGTAACTGATGAGAGCTTGGTGGACTGTGTCGAGTGTCCTGGGAGTTTAGAGTAGGTTCGAGACCATTCGCATTCATGAATGGCAACACATACCAGACAGTCGCGACCTAACAAGATAAAGACGATGATAAGCAGAAAGCAAATGACCTCGAACATGAACCACGTACCAGCAGCTTCCACCCGATCGGATCCTTCTGGTATGTCGTATAATACCAATACGTCTGCGCGGTAGTGATCCCCCACAGCCTGTATCGCGCCACGCGTCGAGCTTTAAAACATAGGAAACGAAAGAGCTCTTGACGACCTACCCCGCAGCTATGACCATGCCGATGAAGATCGCGCCATAGGTATTGTCAAGGGAGGGAATGGCGGGGAGCCCAGAGGTAGCCATCGCGGGAGCAGGGAGACGATCAAGAGCTCCTATCCTCGAGTCGCCACTTAAGTATGTGTTTGACTCTGGCGATCGCTGGACTCGGGTGATAAACATGCCGGGGGAAGAAGGCGTCTTTGATCTTGATGGGGCGGCCGCGAGCACACTTGGATCCAGTTGTTACCCATGCTGTTACACGTTACACACGAACGCGCAGGAGCCTGAAGGAAGGAATCGGGCGGCGATTCGGAAAAGGAGCCTGATCAAGTGAGTTCGTATCATCGTGTGGGTTGGGCGTCGACAGCAAGAGGTGAGTTTCTTCTATATGGTTGTCGAGGCAGGTGCAGTGGCGCAGCGCAGATCGGCAGCACTCGTCGGTGGCCGACTTGACGGGTCCTGTCCCGTTCTATCAGACTTCACCACAGAAATCATAGCATTGGTCGGGCAGTGTGTTAGGCAAGGACTGCGATGGCGGCTCAGAAGCATGTGCACCTCCAGAAACGATGCAATTCGCTTTTGTGAGCGGGGCGACACCTTCAGACACCTTGGACGGTGCGTTGGGGGGGTAACCACATAGCCTCGTCAGGCGTCGATATGAATAACGATAGGCATGAAGCTCGACTCGTGTCCTCGAGATTGAAGAACGGCTTGAGTGTTATCAGATTAACAACCCATAGAGATATCCACGTGGGTAATGAGCCTTCGGCCAAGAAACCGATTGGAGTAAGAACTGAATGGGACTTCTGCAAGGAGCAAGTTTTCCATACTTGACGCATTGACTTGTCAATCAGAGGCGATTCTGAACGCATGAATAGACGGCACCGACGAATGTCATCGTTTTCTGCTGGAATCTGGGGTACGCAGGGCACTATTGGAAGGTTTGACTCGGGAGAGAATTTCAAGGCGAAGGTGATATCTTACACTCGGATTTGTTCATCCTCCTCCGGGCTCCTTGTCTCCAAAGTTGTCGGAGAAATCTCGAGCAGACCGTAGTTCTTGGGAACTATCAAGTAACCTGATGCCAACGACGACAGAGAAGAGAACCATTCGAGTAGCCAATGAATTGATAGATCGGCGTCTTCGTTTTCTTGCTTAACGAGGTTATGAGGCTGCCTGAGTCCCCTATCTTCTCTTCTGTGACTGCTGCGTCTCTTTGCAAGACATTGAAGAATAAGTAACTTGCATGATGCACCCCGGGCAACGGTCATCGTACAGGAGCAAGTTCTAGTCGATTTTGCGGAAGAGGGGCGCTGCGAGCCTGCGACTCAGTGCGAGCTCGGAGCTGCTCGGAGCTGGGCCAGCTCCCGATGGGGTCTGTCCGTCGAAAACCCCAAAATTTGGCCTCAAATCCGCAAACTTTTTCGTCTCAAATCCGCTATTTCGTACAAGGTTGTCACATTCCCACGCGTGACTTGCGTGACCTTAGGCCAAAAGCGTGACATCCTGTTCTTACAGGGCACCGAAACTCTATAGAGCTCGAAAATGTGACGGATTTCTGGCGTGCAGGAACACATAGCACCCTGCTACCATCGTGGTCTGAGGGCGTTGAGTACTTACACTCTCTCCCTTGATCCAAGCAGACTTGCAATCTAACAGGTCAAACTAGACATTAATGTGAATTTTTCATATTCCTGACAAATTCCTGACTTTGGCAGTCCATTTCAAGCCTTTTGGGTGTAGAAATGATTTTAATTTGCAATATAATTCTATGTGATCCATCACTAGAGGCTCGTCTTGCCCCCAGACGGACTCAGCACGAGCCTGGAACAAGGGCCAAAGTGGGCCTCAAATCCGCTATATGTGGACAAGGATATTGAAAAAAAATCTCCTGGGGCCCTCAAATCTGCTACAAATGGACAAGGGTTTTGCAAAAAAATTGCTCCTCAAATCCGCTAACTTTGGACAGACCCTATTGGGAGCTTCATGGGGCCTGCTGGGCCAATTCAGACTTTTTGTGACTGTGACATGTGTCAGTAAGTTAAGCAGCCAGAACCGATAGCTTGACGTGAAAGCAACCTATGCATGGCATGTGCTCATTGTGAATGTGGCATGCCAAGGGGAAGGGGGAGCAAGTAGACACATGGATAGATAGAAATATGAAATAGAAAGCATGTGGTGAGAAGTAATATATGGGCGACAGCCCAACGTGCAATGGGCTCTCGTGACCCCAGCCACAGATTCTGACCTATCAAGGTATCTGAAGCGAACTGCAATTCCCAAATATTAGGAGTCCAATGACACATTGAGCAAGTGAGGATACCCGAATTTTAGGAGTTGGACAGTTGTGGATTGTAGATTTTTTGGGCCCACAGAAGGAAATTGGAAAGGTAACAATAAATTATTGGCAATGCACCAGGCCAGGCCTTCATGTTGGTGATGGTCTCAGTTTAGTACTCATGTTACGACCTGTGCTGAGCCGAGGTGTGCCGGAGACTGGGTGCGTTCGGATGTGCTTCGGAAGAGATTTCGGATGTGGACTTTTGGCTTCAACATTCGTGCGTTGCGCCCTCGAGATAGTCTAAGTCCGATTTCAGAGTATAGGCTTTTTAGGCTGGTGTCGGATGTCGAACGGATGCGAGCGGATGAGAACAGATGAGAACGAGAGGAGGAGATTAGAAGTCGAGTATGATATTCAGACTGCCGGACTCGGTCGTCCTGCAGTCCCTTAAATACTACAACGAATAATGGACTACCTATGACAATGAGCCGTTGGCTGTCTAACTCGTGGAGGGAGCATGTACGCTAATGACAATAGAATAATGAGGCACGTGTATGCTAGGAAAATCAAAGACAAATAACAAACAAAAGAACAATATAATTGAAGAACCGAAACGGCTATGAACGGATGTCTCTCGGATGTCTTCGGCACGGAACGGGTCGTGACAGTACCTCCCCCTTAAGGCCGAGCCCCCGAGGCCTTTTACTGTGGCTGATGTTTGGTATTGTATACGCCATGTTGAACTTGGCCGTTTAGGGTTGTTTGCGTCCAGAAAAATTTCTCTTCCGCTCTACCACCTGGCCCCCCCAAAAACCTGAACTCCACAATGTCCAGCCCCACCAAAACATCCGAAACCCAGCGCCTACTCGAACAACAAAGGAAGTTGGCGGAGGAGAAGATGCGGGAGAGGGCGGAGAAAGCGAGGCAGAGACGGTTGGAGGAGGAGAGGGAGAAGGCTGAGGAGGAGGAGATGGCCCGGGCGCTCGCGGCAGTGGAGCAAGTGGCGGAAGAGGAGTGGCTGCGAGAGGAAGCAGCGGCTCAACAACGGCTGCAAGAACAGGAGGCGGCTGAGAGGCGTAAAGCGGCGGCCAGGAAAAGGGCCAAGGAGAAGAGGGCTGAGGAGGAGAGGAGGAAAAGGGCCAAAGAAGAACGAAAGGCCGAAGAGGAGCGAGCAGCCGAAGCGGCACGGCAGGCGGCTAGGCCTACGGCCTACCCAAGCACGGACGAGGAGGACAAAGAAGTGGTTGTAGAACGAACCAAGCGCAAAGGCAAGGGCAGGGTCGTCGAGTCATCCGGTGAGTAGTTGGTTTTCGGGTGTCGGTCAGTGGCTAACGGCTGTCGTAGATGAAAGTAGTTCGGAGGGCGAGAGTGGGAGCGAGGGAGAAGGAAGAAGGGGCAGGGAGAAGGAGAAGGGGCAAGAAGAAGAAGACGAAGACGAAGACGAAAAGGATGACGAGGAGCCGGAGACGGCTGCGGCCACGAAGGGGAAGACGAAGACGGCACGCAAGGTGAAGTGATATAAACTTAGAAATAGAGAAGTGCAGATGGGTCGAACGAGTGAAAAACAGAAGAGGACGGAGGTCAAACCGGCAAAGGGCCTGGCTTGTTGGGATATGCCTCGTGGAATTCTTGGACTAGTTCTTGAGCGTTCGGGAGTTCATCGGCTGGCTGCCAGGAGAACTCCTCATCCGTGTTCTCATAACCATACCATCGAACATAGTAGAGGAGCTTGCACTTGCGTCGTCGATCGATCTTAGAATCGACTATCTCGGCGACCTCGTACTCGAGTTCACCTTCGATTTCGA